ATTTGAACTTGTTTGAACTTCTCCCATAAAGTGATTATTTATGCACGACCAGGCCCCCGCTTCGGCCCGGGCCGGGATTAACTTCGTGAAAATGCAAAAAAAAAAAAAAAAGGGCCACGCACAAACACACAGAGTGCGCACAAATGCATATGCACACAGTGGCGTGCTTTCATGGCCCACTGCCTTGGCTTTCCCCAGTTATCCCGGCCTCAGTGGTTTGAGGACAGGGCACCGCCGAGCCCCCACAGAGTCTCCAAACTACAGTCTCCATGGAGATCCTAAAGAGATTAGCACACTGTGTGCGTGTGTGTACGTGCGAGTTTGTGTAACTGTGTCACCCCATGATGAGGGCCGGCGCAAAACCCCTTCAAAATAGCTTAAATTTGAACCAAATCATTTTTTTTTCTACCATCAATCAACAGGTTGCAATGAGTGAAAATGAAGAAATGGACTGGCGGAAAGAATGTGTTTGTCTTCCACACGTGTCTTTGTCCTAAAACAATGCCTTTACAAACGGACTCGCACACTACACTCTGTTTTACAACATGCATTAACTTTTTTTTAAAAGACCAGATCATTCGTGCCATGACCCTTTGGGGAGGATGTTTCAGGATTACAGTTTACCTGAGTAGTACTGGAATCAAGAGTTATACCTATATTCCACAAAATTATTCCAAAAGTGTTCCTTTTTATTCGTAGGATATGTAAACTCACTGGTTTATTCAATCAATGTGATTCTAACATATTTATTTTTTATTATTTTTTTTATTACAATACAATATAAAGGTCTGAATTTATCCTAGAGTGAGACACTAAAGCTCACATCCATCAACCATCAGTGTGTGGGAATATGTGGGATGGAGAAACATGGCCGATGTTGAAGTATAGACTAAAAAGGGCTGTATGAGCGTACATGCAAAAGGGTGATTGTGGTTTATCATTTTTCTTGATGGTTCCTATCAGCACCGAGCCCTTTACACGCGCTGTGATCCTCAGTATTTTGTCCTGAAATTGCATAAACAAGCAGAAAGACAAAAAAAAGAGAATAATATAGATGGAAAATAATGTAGCTAAATGCAGCTTGTGAAATACAAGCTAAGATAAAAATCTGGTTATATCAAAACAAGTACAGAAAGAAATGGAGGAAGAATACTACTTGAAGACATAATATTCAACACAACAGAAACTTTTATGCTCATCATAGCTGCACGATACTAAAACAAAACAGATATCATCTTTAGTCGGTGTCTATGGAACTCTATGGCTCATCTGGAAATGCACCACCGATATTCTAAAGGTATAAAAAGCTTTTAGAGCAACACATGCTCCGATCCAAATAACATCTGGCCTCGCACTTGCCACCACGACGATGCTAAACTGCGAACTGCATCTGTCACAGCACCCGATTCAGTTCGGTCCGGCCTGCCAACAGACCTTTTGGCACGTCATGAGGTTTTAGACAACCACAGAGAAGGTCCAGGAACATTAGGCAGCCAGAGTCCTGTATCGCACGAGAGTAGGGCCATGTTCCTCTCTCAGTGGTCCAACATCTGGTCTCAGATTTTTAGATGTTTACAGACTGGTTTTTAAAGCACTTTAGGTGACTGCATGCAATTCAGACTCAGGCTGTGTCGAAAGTATTCTCTATTGTTGCCAGTTTAGATATAAGACTGCTATTCAAATATATAATATAGTATATATACTTCATTATTTGCAATAACCCGGTCATGTGCAACAATAGTAATTTAGACACTGAATCAGAATCAGAATCAGAAATACTTTAATAATCCCAGAGGGAAATTATTTTTAGTACTTTAATAAGCTTTGTTAATACTGTTGATTGTAAAGTTTTATTTTTTTGGTTTGATTCCATTTTTTTCTTTCTTTTTTTTCTTCTGTAAACGGGTGCACTGCAAAAAAGAAGAAAAAAGAATTTCCCGCAAAAGGATTAATTGTCACAGTTGTGTACCTGGCTGGGTTTTTTTTTCTGTCTCGTCTCATTATTGTCTCGTCATTTCCTGTTTTATTTTGAAGAATAACCCCTCATCTGGTTTCAGGTCACTTGCATTTCCCGGTGTGTGAACGGTCCCATTGTCTTCCTGATCACCTATTGTGCGCACCTGGGGTTCCCTTCCCTGACGTGTTAAATAGTCTGCATTTCCACTTGTCTTATGACCTAACTGTGCAGCCTTCTAGTCTTCGATCCTTGATCCCTATTTGCCTCTCACGAGTTATTTTGCGTTTTGTCTCCTAGTAGTTTTGTCTTCCTAGTGAGTATTATTTTGTCACTTTGTGCCTTTTTGTCCTCGTTCTCGAGTGATTTTGATTCAATACTTTTGAAACCTCCTCGTGGAGCGATTTTGTTTGTACTTTGTTTCCACTCCCTGAGAGTGCGCCTTGTGTTTAATAAATCCTGGTTTTTCGTACACGACCACCGTGTCATTAATAAAGTAATTCTGATTCTGATAATATAAAGAGGATGAAGGTGCTTGTTCCCATATGGTCCCAAAAAACGTCATCTAAAACTTCAAATAAATTGCATATCTGATCAAATGTACATTTAGCACACACTTAATGTGTGATAAATTCAGGTTCGGACCAAAAGGAGATTTAGATCAATACATCCTTTGTACTAAGTATTTATTATGGATTCCCATTTACTGTGAAGAGCATCCAGGGGAGACAGTGAAGGCAGCAAACCAAAACCCGAAGGGAAAAATGCACACACACAAAGCTTCCCCTCCATGTCCCCGCTCTCAACTGTCTCCCCCCCCCCCCCCCTACCCGCCCTGCCCCCCCCCAACCAACTCCCCCCCCCCCCCCCCAGTCAGCACTGCCTGTCCTCTGCTAACACAACAGCCTGCAAGTCTCAACCCCTCACCCGTAGTTTCTCCAGAGGGTGCAATGGCAACAATCTCGTCCTCTTTCAAGTATGGGACGGCAAACTGAGACTGTATACACTGACACACACACATATATACGCACACACGCATCCAGCCCTGGGTAAAACTGACCCGAGATATTGTGGTTACCCCAGAGAGGCCTTTCCTCTTGCACTCCCTTCCCTCCGCATTTCAGGCCGCTTTGAAATGAGAGAGGGAAAGTAGGGAGAGCGATGTGTAAGAAAAAAAACAACGCATAAAGAAGATGAGCAAAATGTGGGCAAGATAGGGGTATCATGCTGAAAAAGGAACTCCCACTTCCCCCTTGGAGAAAACATTAAAAAACACATAAGGAAAAGGGAGGAATAGAAAATGATTTCCTTTGCTGTCGGTAAAGACATGAAAGGACCAAAAAGGAGAGGGAGTCAGAATTTAAAGGACACTCACTTTAAGTGTGTAACCGAAGCTGTTGTATTTCATCTAAAGAGTATTAAAAAAAAGTAGCCGAAAACAGAGAGCAATGACTTTCAATCCACCAAAAACCCCAGAAGTCAAGAAAGCAGAAAAATGCTCATTTAATTTTCTTCCTGATATGCATTTGTATAGAATCATTTTAAAAGGGGCAAAGAAAAAAACTTTTGGAAAAAGTCCCTGTTCATTTGGTAAATTGATAACAAGTCAGTCAACATAATCAAATAGAAAAAGGACATCCGGAGGTATTAAAGCGAATGTCAAACGGGGTTCACCACTAAGTCTGAATCTGCCTGGGCAAACTATTGAACAATTTCTGAACAAATAAGTCATATAAACAGCAAACCATTGTTGGAAAAAAATGTCATGCTATGATTTAAGATAAACTAGCATCTGAACAAGGCTGATTCATTCTACTAAAGCTACATTCACACTGTAACCAGAAGTGACCCAAGTACGTTTTTTTTTGTTTAGTTTTTTTTGTGAAATATGATTTTTTTTTGCCGTTGTCGTTCACATTTCCAAAAATATATCACTCGTACCTGATATCCAATGTGAACTAAAAGAAATATCCCGGTTCTGATAAGACTCCTGGAGTCTGACCTGGATAGAGCTATACCCCAAACACTAATTAAGTTTAAAAAATTATGAAAAAAACAAAGATCTGTGTTGTTCACACTGTCATGAAAAGATCAGATACAGGTCGCATTGGGCCAAAAAATTCGGATTTGGGTCAACCTTGCGTAAAAACTTCAACAATTTATACTAGTTTTGCCTCATGTTCCCAAATTAGAGTTGTTTAGCTTCGAAGAGCTTGTATTCTTTATGCAAAAGTCATATCACCAAGTCCCCATAATTTGTGTGTATCTGTTGGGAGTTTTCCACTAGTCCCTCCTCAGGGCTGCTCGGCTTGACTCCACTTTTTTTTTTTGCATATCTTAATGGGGCTACCGCCTCCTAACAATGAAAGTTTTAGCACCTACTCTAACACATTGAGTTGGGCCAGTGGTAGACTGCTGGGCGCTGATTGGCCGGGGTTTCACACGATTTTCAAGTGAACCCTGTCCACTTCAAAAATGCTTGTGTTGCATGCAAATTACATCACAGGGTTTCTGTTAGGACCTTATTTGCAACTGAAACAGTAGGTAGTGGAAAGTAGTAGAAAGGCAAGTGGAGCCCTATATGGCTGAGTAGGTACTTGTGGAAAACCTCCATATGTGAAGTTCTAAGTGCAAACTGTATATACACTTCCCATTTGATTTGTGATTAGCAACCTGATCCAAAATCAAACCGTTCAATCTGAAGTTGCTTTGACGGCTAAGAAAGAGCTAAGAAAAGCTTCTACCATAATAACACTCAAAGTCCCAAAGTGCAGACTTTAGTCTGCACCTAGTTTGTATCGAGTATCCCCCCAAAGGTGTTAACGGCTCTCCTCTGGTAGAGTGAGCGCCATTTGCGAATCAAATGCAAATGTAAGAATGTGGTTTGGTGTAACTTCAGCTGGTGTGCTGGGGGTTTCTTTGTTTGAGCTGCCTCCCTTTGTGTTGTAAAGGAGCTTTTTCAAGGAGTGAAGTGATTTACAGAATTTCTGTGGGGATAAATAGAGCAGGCACAGCACACAGACTCAGAACTCACCCGGAATTCACCATGGCACAACCAAGGCGACCAAGAAGGATGAACGCTCAGGAGGCTTTAGCCATGCTTCAGAGCATGTCAGACTACGAATCTGATGGTGGATCTGTTGGAGGCCTAGCATTTCAGAATGAAAACAGCGCAACCGATTCTTCAAGTGACGGGGATGATTATGATGACAATGCGACTGCTTTTGCACCAGCAAAGCCTGCCCTCCAAAGACGCACCAGGGGCCGAGTGGTCAATTATACCATTGAGCAGGACAGTTCAAACACTGAGGCTACGTCAGATGAAGAGGAAGACACAGTGCGCGGCAACCCCCCTCCTTGCAAAAAACAAAAAACTGCTGATGTTGGCACAATGCCTGGATCCACAGAGAAGGCGAAAGATGGCACTGTTTGGTCCCACTGGAAAGTTGGAGACCTTTCTGTTCCTGAAACCCCACAGACTGCCTTCGATGGATCTGGAGGGCCAACAGATTCTGCGAAAACCCAAATCACAAGTCACCTTCGCAGCTTCCTGTGTTTGTTGGATCTGAACATGTTGCTGACCATCAGAGACTGCACGGTCCACGAGGCCCGCAGAACAAACCCCAGCTGGCAGATGAGTGTCTACGAGCTGATGGCTTTCCTCGCAATCCTTTTTCGAAGGGCTGCCATGGGTTACATTGGTCCCATGCGACAAATGTGGGCCAATAAATTCGGAAACGAAGATATCAAATCCATGATGCCTCGTGACCGGTTTTTTGAAATAAGACGGTACCTTCGTTTTGACGACAAGGACACCCGCAAGGAACGGATACACAATGACAAATTTGCAGCAATTTCTGACATCTGGATGCGGTTCGTTCAGAACTGCGTGTCGTCCTACAGTCCAGGACAGCATGTTGCTGTGGATGAGCTGCTGTTTCCGTCCAAGGTTCGGTGCCCCTTTTTGCAGTACAGTGCATCCAAGCCTTACAAGTTTGGAATCAAGTTTTGGATTGCAGCAGATCTGGACACGAAATACATTTGTAATGCCATCCCTTACTTGGGAAAAGATCCCACTCGTCCAGAAGGAGAGAGGTTTTCAGAGAACGTTGTTCTGAAAGTGATGGAACCATTTTTGGACAAGGGAAGGACTGTAGCTATGGACAATTTCTTCACCTCTCTGTCTTTGGCTAACAGGCTCCTTCAGCGAAATACAACTCTGCTTGGCAGCATCAACAAAATTCATCGGGAGCTACCAGCAACTGCAAAGGAAACCTCGGGGCGCGAGTTGCACTCCACACAGGTGTTCAAATCTGGAAGTGCCTTGCTGACGGTGTATGCGACAGAAAAAAAGAAATCTGTCTGTCTTCTGAGTACCATGCATGACAAAGTGGAAATTGTGGACGTTCAAAAACAAAAACCGAACACTGTGGTTGATTACAACCATCTCAAATGTGGTGTTGACCAGAAACTGCGCAACTACTCTGTGCGTGCAGCAACACGGAGGTGGCCCATGGCTGTGTTTTATAACCTGCTTGACATGGCCGCCACAAATGCACATGTTTTGTACACAGCGTGTACAGGATCCAAAGAAAGTCGTCGACTGTTCATGCTTGAGCTTTCAGAGGAACTCAAAAACATGTTCCTGCAGGAAAAGTCACAAGAGGAAGAGCAAAAACAGCTACGTTGTGAGATGAGAGTTTCCCAGCATAAAAAGACTCAATGCCAGGTGCGCATACTCTGCAATAAGAACAAAAGTAATGAACGTTGTGTCCATTGCGGCAAATTTACCTGTGGCAAATGTAGGAAAGGCTCACCATGGGAATGTGGATACTGCTAGATGGGACAATTGTATTTTCCATTTTTCCACTTTATATTTAGTGCTTTATCCACATGTAGACTGCTTTTCTTTATCTGAAATTAAAAAAACCTTTCTGAAGTTATACCTTCTGTCTGTCGTTTTTCAAAATTGAGCTGTTTGGGCTGGTATTTGGCTCCAGTCCCCCCAACAGTACTTCACAACTCAGGAATCCCTTTTCAGATGAAAATGCCCCATTGGCGCTGTCGTTGGAGAACCATTCCAACCCCTTCAGTTTTGGTTTCAGTTCAAGCCTCCCTGTTGAGGAGTGTTTTACCTGAAAGCGGGGGTGGGGGGTGGCGGAAATCATATTTGTAATAAAATATAACTAGGTCTATGTCATCAGTGTCGCCAACACCGGAATGATTTCAGACAGCGGGGCCACCAGCGCAGTGATCAGACGACAACTGATCTGTACAATGAAAATATCTCCATCAGTTGACAAGAACATTTATGCAACAATGACCATCTGCCCTATTTACCAGAGGGCAAACAAGCAAACATCATCCGCTCGCGATCTCCAGCGGAAAGCCGGTGTTGCGCTGGAAACCGGTTTCCAGCTCAAATTCCAATATGGCGGCAGGGGGAAATGTAATGGTTGTAGGTGGGAAGTCTAGCTCCCAGAATAAATAGGCCCAACAGATCGACTCAGAGTTATTGAGATTTCAAGCTTGGCTTGGTTTGGCTTGGCTTGGCGTGGCGTGGCGTACAAGCTTGGCTGCAACAGACGAGCATGTGTTGTACAAGCCGTGCACAGGGACCAAAGAGAGTCCACCAAAGTTAATTCTGCTACTTGCAAATGAACTTCGTAACATTTTTATGCAAGAAAAGGCAATAAGGGAAGAACACATGAGAAAGCATTGTGAGATGAAGAGACTAGGGCTGTTCCTTGTGTGACATGAATGTTACTCCAATACTAAAGGCATACTGTTTGTCATTCTCTAAGATTACATTTTGAATGACATAAAAAGGCGAGACAAGACAAAATAAAATTATTCTTTCTTTCATATAGAGAGCTTTGCAATATGAATGAGTCTGTTGGTGAATGGACAATAGAAATAGGCTCTGCATGGCCTTGTTGGAGAAGCATGGTTATGACCTTTTCTCAGCTCAGGAACTAGGACCCGTATGATATCTGGTTGTTCAATAGGTTTGCCTAAATAAAAGATTTAGATATGACTTGTGAATACACAAACTTGCAGAGGGGAGGGGGGCTTGCAGGAAAACTGAGGAGGACTTTTGGGTAAACAATATCAAAAAGTAGCAGGGTTTTTCACAGTTTTCCTTTTCCCAACATTCCAGTTGCACATGCTCACTTTCTTTCCATGTTTGAACCCTTTAATGTCCCAGGATATTATGTAAAAGTGGTATAAAGATGATATGCTAGCTCCTCAAGGGAACACAGACGGGGATAATTGATAAGTAGTGGGATGGACACTGTAAAGAAAATAAGAGCTGCTACTGCAAAGACATCATTAGGGTCGCTCACTAAGTCTTTAGCATTGCAAAAGAGTCACGATGACAAAAGGGATGCACATTTGTCTCTCCTCCGGGTGTTCATACAGAAGGACAGGAAGGAAGCGTCTTAGCGAGAACCTGTAAACTCCCAACGCAGTGTCGGGGCTATTACGGCTGCATTGTTCTCCATCGGCTTCTGTTGCCGGCCACCGTCTCCTTTATGTCACGGCCATTGTCTCGGGGCCCTTAGGTGATGAGCCCAACGACCTAAAGACAACCAACAGACTCACACAACCTCATGCATACGCACACATGAAGGCAAAAAAACAATTGAAAACAGAATAGTTATTGGCCATGACATGTGTGTCTGTGTGTGTGTGTGTGGTTACCACAGTTGATTGAGCAATAGTAAAAAGGCCAAAACAGGACAGATGGCCTCTGTCAATTAATTTAATCTTACTGTACCAATCAACCTATACAGTTTTTGAAATAATGACCACAATAACACAGTCTAAGTCTAAGTCTCTCTAAGTCTAATAGGTTGGTCTGCCAGGTTTTCTGTAAAAAGCATTTAGATGCATGAATTGTTAAGTATAGATTACTTTAGTTTTAGTCTCGCAACATTTCCATACCAACGTAGGTTTAATATGACGATCAAATGCTTATGCAAATATGTTCAAAGTATTATAATCGCGAAACACGTTTAGCATGTTCAATATTTTGTACATCAATCCAAAAAATACAGTGCAGTCTCTTTCTATAATCTACCCAAAATTATTTTAATGGAAAAAATTCAGTTCCGCCCCAAAAAACTAAGATTACAGAGGTTCTTATAATAACTAATAGTGAATTCATGGTTTTAGCTGGTTTACATAAGAGCACAGTGTCAGTATGTTGTCATTCCTTGTCTCCATATGTCTTTTTTTTTTTACTTTCTTCTTTTATTTCACGTGTTCTTGCACATTGACTTGGCCAAAAAGCTTTTAGGAGGAAGTAAAGCAAAACAAATGTGCAAAATCAGACAAACACTACGGACTGTGGATTTTCTCATAGCATTTACTGTTAGAAAGACGGAAGTTAGATTATTTCTTTGCCACTTTGGGAAGAAGATGTCCAGTTAACTTCTTTCCACTAAAAAATGAGAAGCTACTAAGAGATCCGAAAATGGTAGAACAAGCTAGCCGAAGAAGGTAATCGGTTTATTCTGAAATTGCTTTAAAAAATGGCTAAACTTTGTGCTTACTGAGCTAATCATGTGTTGTTTATGACAGTAGTAGAATAACTTTAGACAAGGCTGTCAGACTTATTAAAAGACTCAACAGTGTCATGTTGCAGATTTTAATAGGAAGAATTTTAGTAGTTTTTAGTTATTTTAGGTATTTAAAGGCAATTTTGTAGATTTATGCTGAGAGCATTCCTAACATTTCAGCTACAGCTTTTTGTCATCTCAGACTCAGTGTACACCATGATCAGGAGAGGGAGCAGCTCTTGTAATAAGGATTGCGGTAAATAAATTGGTTTTGGATGAGCTGTGTTCCAAGGCACAAGTAAAAACATCCACAACCAGGAATTCATGTTGATACAGTCAAAACGCACTTCAGTTATCTGTAGTAGGCCTGCACAGCTGATCTGACACTTCATTTAGACTGACTTTATACTAAAAGGAAATGAAAAAAACTCAATATTAGATCTTTCAGCACCTTTACAAAGCTATGGACCATTTACTACTGATGGCTTTTGGTCAAAATGTTCTCAATTTGAACCAATAAAGACATGTTGCCTCATGGATAAACATCCCCTCAAGCCTTAATTTGATAAGATGGGTTTTTAAAAACAAAACCCTTGAAAACTTGGAAGGGTTTGAAGACTTTCTGCCGTTGTACAGCCTCCTGTTTGTCTCTCCCAAGCACAAGTACAGAGGATTCAATGCCGTGGTATTCTTCAGAAATCTTAAAAAACATTATTTGCAATGCAACGGAGGAAGAGAACAGCTTTTAGTTGAGTTTGAAAAGATAAAAAAAAACTACATTTTAATAGATTCAGTGCAGCTGGCTTGCAAAAAAACAACAAAAAAAACATCAGAACTGAGTATGCGCCATTGCAGTAGACATGCCATTAGTTTTTATGGGCTAATCAAAACCACTGGTAGTCACAATACTCCAGTTTTTGTGTCACATTTTTTCCTTTACGCACTCAGTTTTTGGCTGCTACTGTTTGTTTAAAATCTCCCTTTGTCTTTCCTCTTAAAAGAAAACTCAAAGCAGGTAGCAGAAGTCTGAAAGCATCTTTTCTCTTCTCTGTATTTATTTCTTCCTGGCTTCGTACAAGAGGACGGACCGGACAGGGGGGGGGCAGAGGGAGGTTTGGTTGTCATGTTTTCCGTGCCGCCATAAATAAGTCCGTCCCTGCTCATGTTTTATGGAATCCAGAGCCTCTTTATCCCTTCCATGTGTTCCCTATGAGCCGGGGCCCTGACCTTTGACCTCTTGGGCTCTTGACACGGTTATCTCAGGCCCAGGGGAAGACGGTGTTTGTGTGTGTGTCGGCAGTTTTGCGTTGAATCGTGGTTGATTATCTCATGACCCCGTCCCCCCCCCCCCCCCCCCCCCCTACTCCACCACATTACTTTTGCCCCCCAAACTTCATTCCGCAGACTATAAAGCAAGCACATACAAAGAAACACAAACACTGTGTGGAGTGTTCGGCTGACGCGTCACAGATCACCTCCGGGGCAGTCTGACCCCGGTCATTTCATGCCTATTTTTTGTTTGACTTTTTAATCAAACAAACACACATAGACTCCTTTGGCGCTGTCATATTGTTCCACACGAATTTACTGTCCAAACAGACATATCATCTTATAAAAAGGCTATTCATGCTTATGTTTTTTTTGTCGCTGAAGTGGCGATTAAAGCCTAATTGACACTTTTTTTCTTCATTACACTCTATCGAATGGCATTTTTTAAGCCCAGAAGTTTCTTTATGCTCACAGAGCTACGGCATAACACTAATAAGACCATCACACATTGTCTCGAATAACTCATGTTAGCTGAAAGGGCCCGTCTTTTGTTTTAGTTGTGTGGATCTGCAGAGTGTAAAAACCTGTTGCCGTTTGTAAAGGTTTTCTTTGGTTTACTAATGCAGTGCACTTAACCAGACAGCCTAAGTAGTACAATAAGAATGTACATGTCCCATGAGGCAGTCCCAAAATAATCCCATTTTACACTGCACTCACACTACAATGTCAGAATTTATATTTGGGATCATGATGGCATTCTAGAAAGACAAAACACAGAAAGGAATATCTGTGTTTGGTTCTGGACCATCTCTACAAAAAAAGAGCACATATTATTTGCAAAACAAAACAAAATATGGAGGTATTCAACTAAATTATACCCAAGTTCGGTGAGTTTGACGGATGCATATTCCACTTCTGTTTACTACAATCACAACCCACTGGTTTATCTTTTTTATAGCTCCCATCCAAATAGTCGTTAAACCACAGTGTACATGCTCTTTGAGAATTTGTCAGTTGGTTGCATTTGTGTCACACAAATGGCAGCAATGGCTTTTCCAACGATCTTATCCCGTAGCACATCTTTTTCTAGGGTAAGTACCCTGTTCCGTGGTCATCTGGCTGTTCAAGACGCTTGCCTTGCCAAGAATAAGAATGTGGGATGACTGCGAACGTGACGTGTAATTTGGTGTGGTGGATTCTGCCAAATGGCGATGTACCGGGACACGGCATTAGCTCGGAAATATGTCGGCGTTCGAGAAAGCAAATTGTTGTGGTTTCGAGCGTTTCAGAAGTCCTGATTGCGCTGCGATGTGTGTTATTAACATATGGAAACTCTTTGACAGCGTGATCCTTTAAATGTTCTCTTATGAAAGGGAGAGCTGGGTATAACAAGTATGACCGAACCCCGACTCCGGGGGGGGAGTATCGTGTGCGTGTGTGTGTGTGTGTGTGTGTGTGTGTGTGTGTGTGTGTGTGTGTGCAGCTCTGGCTAAAGATTTAAAGCAGCAGGGAGGCCAAGGGTGCTCTGTGTCAGCGGGACAACATCACTGCACCTCCACCTATTTACACACACACACACACACGCGCGCACACACGCAGTCGTCTGGCTCGTTTAGTGCCCCTTTCCAGGTGACTCTGATCTCAGAGGGAAGGGGGCTAAAGCTCAAAGGTCAAAGGTCACCTTTACGAGGACGAGTCTCCTTTTACCCTGGGCTCCTAATTAGGCTTTAATCAAGCTAATTAGGCTTCATTAACCGGCCAAGGGAGCTGGGATTGCTTAACGCAGGCCAGACCTCGCTCTTATTTACGAGCTGGAGGGGTCGGGGGGGTGAGGGGACGACGGGGGTCTGCCGATCGAGGGGAGGAAACAATTGCTTCCCCTAAAATAGAGGGGAATTTCTCGTGTTATAGATTTCCTATGTAATGCGGCATAAGCAAGCCCCCCGTCAGGTTAACGTGGTAGCACTAAAGCAAATACAGAAACCTCGAGACGGAGCGCTTTTTAGCACACAACAGCAGTCCGTTGGCGGTCTTTGTTGGACGTCTTCGCGCCGCTGTAGACCGGAGAAAGGCCTCTTTGTGTCAAACCGGGACCGAGCGGCCACTTCTGCACTCTTAGCTGCCCCCCCCCCCCCCCCCCCCCCCCTCGAGCCCTGGCTGACCTCCAGATCCCAGTACCAGGCCAGACCTCTCTGCATCTCAGCACAGACAAAGAAGCTCTACACTGGACGGACTCTTCCCTCTTCTTCCTCTCCCCCCTTCCCTCTGTTCCTTCTTCGCAAACTGGGTTACTACATTCGGCCCGGCCGCTAATGCCCCGAATCAATACCTTTCATTGATCCAAAATGTCATTCCCCCCCCCCCCTCGCTAATGCATAATTTCCTGTCGAATAAAGTCATTTGCTCTTAAGTTCACTATTTATTCAAGGCACGCTGCCGTGAGCTTGCCTGTCGTTTTCCTGGAAAACACAGTTTTTCTCTAAGACGGGATCGAAAGGAAAACTTACACGCTCGAAGCATTTGAAGAACATAATTGTTTCCAGGAAACTGGAAAATATCGGTGCGTGTGCTAAATCTGTGCTTGGACCTTTTTACATTTGGACGAGCCGTGCAAAAAAAAAAAAAACATCCGTAACCATCAACCGGGTGATGTCGAAAAAACGTTGTGGTTCCACATGAGGGAGATTTTATTTTCAAATGTAATGTAATGTGCCACAAAGACCACAGAGACAGCAAAAAGCTTGACCCAAGAAATAGGGGTGAGAGGTCAGCTTCCTCTCCATCCAATGTGGAATGAGATGTTCCAGTCACGGTCCACATCCATATTAGTAGAGCTATTTTGGTAATTGTCACTCTTGGCCGAGGGTTAAATTCCTGCTCTGGTGTGGACAAAAAACACACTATAACAGTCAAATTGTCGTCTTTCGGAAATGTTTTTGGATATCCAAGAGGTTTTCTTCCACAACAATTTCCAAAGAGCCTGTAAGAAGCATACAGAATGGATCTTTTTGCTAAAAAAATAACTGCATTAGAAGGGAAATGAGCCTTTTATATGTAACGTCCAGCTCCCAGGTACCATGCTGTAATATGCAACTATTACACAGAGACCCCCTTTTCTCTGCCAACAGCATGAAAAGTTGAATTTTCATATAATAATGGTGATGCATTGAGGAAAGGGCCTACAAGTGCTCAACTTATAAAGTTTTATGATTCAAAGGAACAGTATTCCTTTTATTTGTTAGCCCAAAATGCAGCCTTTGTTTAGATCCCTGTTTGGGTTTTTGTCATGCTAGCTCCATTTGGACTGAGCAGTATGGGCTTACCGGAGCAATTGCAGTAGCGCACGATATATATGTTTTTACTCTTTTTTTTTATTGGGGTGGATTTCCCCTCTCAGAGTGCTCGTGAAGCACCTCTCCTCCAGAGGAAATCAGCCTGTCGGAGAAAGTTTTCTGCTCCTAAATACAGCCGCAAATTGCTGCGCCTCAATTATCCAAATCCAAGCCTTCAATTATGGTCCCACTGAGTTTTTTTTTTACTCACACAGTGGAAGAGATTCACACCTCAGGTGAGTGTTGAGGCTATATTATTTTCCCCTCGGAGCGTCATCCTTGGCCGTTTGCCATGGATTCAATTTTTACTCCTACTCAGTTTGAATTTGCAAATGCTATTTGCAAATGCAAATGGCAACAAAACCAAGAAAGGGGCTTGACGATAAACTGAAATGACATCGATAGTGGTGATTAAGTGCGTTTGCACTAGCAAACAGCAACAACTGCGCAGCTGTTGTGTGCAAAGGTTTCGGCAACAATCAGTAGCAGATGCATTAAATCTTCCCCCCAGGACACTGTGCTTCCTAACACTGATCTTTAGGAATGTGAAGGGATTAAAGGACACCCACACATACTGAACATAAACTAGCATAGACACTAACTGAACGCACACCAAATAGCATGTCCTGCGTTTGCATGCGTGCTCCATTTGTTACGGGGGGGGGGGTTTCCCCCTAACTCCATAATGACCAGCTAAGGATCCCTATACGTGCAATTTGATTGTACACGTATACTGAAATGAGTTCTGTCAAAAATAAAAAGCCGTCTTAGGCTGTATGTGCTGACACATAATAGCTAGCTTGCATGCTGTTGGAGGGATGGTACACACACACACACACACACGCGCAAATACACATGCAATGCACCAGTGTCTGCCCAGTGCACAGAGAGCTTGAAGCCATGGAAAAAAGAAAAAAAAAAATCCCTCACAATTGCAATTCCACACCTTTTCTGTTGTTGTCAGGCCCGTCAGACACGGCTGTCCGTAGATATGGGCAGAACAGGGGCCAGTTACGCCGTATTGTGTGGGGGCATAGGGGTATAAGCTACGCCCGCACAGCCATTCTTCCCTCCGCCAAACAAGTTCTCTCATCCGTCACGACCCCCCCCCCCACACACACACACACACATACACACAACTACACACACCTCCTATCCCTCTTTCAAAACAAGAAAGAGGAAAAAATTGGAAGAATAAAGCACCAGAGAAGGGTGAGGGGTGTGGGGTGGAGGGTGGAGGGGGGGCACGTAATGGATGGATGATGGGGAGAAATGGATTTAAGACACAAACCAGAAAAAGAGACCGCCATTACCAACTTCTGGCCATGGGAGAAATGCATGCTTAACTGCAGCAGAATGAGAACATTTCACGGACTCTGCTAAAAATAGGACATCTGTTTGGCATTTGTAACTTAATAACCACAGTTGGATGTGTACACACGCACATGTAAGTACAACCCCCCCCCCCCACACACACACAAAAAACAACAAAGGAATAAGTAAGTACATCAGATCAATGTATCCCCTTCTATTTTGTTCTTGTTTGGCAATTCTCAACACCTGATAGATCTATTAAAGTTCAGGCTGATAAAACTTTAAGGTACATTGAAAAGGTTCAGAAACGCTCGGTACACGCCAGCTCCCGCCCACCCACCCACACGCACTCTCAAAGGCAACATGAAAAGAAAAAGAAAAGAGAGGCAGAGCTCAGTTGGTCTCATTTACTAATCCAAATGATGTGAGATTCTGTTACCAGAAATGGTAGGAACAGCAGGTTTTGCTTAGAGCTTGGCACTTTCAGCCAAGGAAAACAGCTCAAAACAGACCTTGACTCAATCAGCGCGCTAACCAGAGAGCGGCGTGTCGCAGCTCATGCGACCCACTTCACGGGAATCCTTCTGTAGGAGAGTCCACGGTCGGGGCCGAGGCCCAGGACCAGGACCAGGCACGAAGTTGGTTTGTCGACTTATCCCAAGCTTCATGGTCATGGTCCGTGGGCGACGACTTTTAAGTCCAAAACCATGTGTGTGTATGAGAGACAAAGGAAAAACTAGGGCTGTACATGTAGAACAAAGCTCCATATGGATTCATGCGCACACTAAAGTGTGGTGGACTAGAGAGTTTGTGGTTGTAACGGTCAAAAGCGCAATATAAATGCAAATCCCTCAGAAACAGCTATTAGTTAGAGAATTTCTTTGGACTGATTTGTTTTCTAAAGGAGAGGGAAGGAGGATTAATGTCTCTCTTAAGTGATAGTAAAGTTCTGCCTCATAGTTTAAATCTCTTGGCAGGGCCTAAAATGATTTGAAAAAAAGATGATAAACCTTCTTATCACAGCCAGGCAGCTGACTTACCACTCCAGCTGACTAACCACAACAGACCGAACTCTTGAAAAGCGGACTAATTGTGTTTTTCCATTACATGGTACAGTACAGAGCAGCTTTTAAAAATATTTTATTGTAGTCCGTGCCACCTACTGATGCTAACTCATGATGTCTTTCTATTGCAACAGACATTCCAAGCGAGGTATGCTTCCTTTGTATAATGATCTGGAAGCAGAACCAGCCACTGTTTGGGAAGAGAGTATCAATCACCTGTGAGCATGAACCGTGAACTAACTCATACTTAGCCTTACACTACAAGCTCCAGTACAAAACTTCACAGATATCTCATCTGTATATACACTTTCCCAACCTTCGGTCTGGATTCATGGGTCATAGTATTTCACCTTTAAGAACAATTGCTCTGTCAAGACTGTCATAAACTCCTTTACCCGCAATAAGTCTATTTGTTCCTTGTATAATACTGACGTCAAAGCATCTATTACATCACTTTTATGTCATAGATGACACATATAGCAAACTGGCGCACTTGTAGATATATTTGTAGTTACAACACATGATACATTTTTGTAAGATTACCATCGTTGGCGCTATGACCAGGTGCTTAGGGAAGTAGCTGACCACCACGGGCAACCACAGAAAAAGCCACAAGGTGGCTATAGACAAAGGGTGCTATAGACAAAGACATGTGGGCTATAACTGCTGGGACACAGGCTGGGGTCGGGTCGCCCGGGCAAGGGTGTCTGATGCTGTAAAAACAACCGAAACACCCAGCGACGCAGCTTACATCACCCAGCATGTGTCCCAGCGCATCTGCTAGACGGATCTCTCTACTCCCCTAAAACTTGGCTTGCAGATATAGCCGGCAGAGTATCGCCATGGCCCTTGCTCGAAAGAATCCAGGGAAAGAGTGAGTCACTCCAAAGTCAATAAAAGCCTTGTCACGGCCGATAACCGAAGTGATCATTCTAACTTGTTTGTTTGATTTGTCGACAATCGGGATTTGCTGCAGATTTACTAGGGGGTTCTACAAGAGTAGGGTTATTATCTGGGGGGGGGGAGACTTACCAGCACGTCCCTAAAACCTGTCGTTTAACTCCACATTTTCATTTTTTTGGGTTGGCCACTGAATGTGGTTTCTTTGTATTGGCTCTGTCGAGCTCTGTTAGTTAAGCATTTACACGAATAGCATCCTGCCTAGCTCAAATATCATGGGATAGATTTATATCAGCCCAGTCTATACCCCGATTGTGGGGCTATGGTGGCTCCTCGAATGCAACTGAAGTTCCATACTTGGGGGAGGACTTCTTAAACTCATGTATGTTTATGTTTCTGCATTTGGCAGACGCTTTTATCCAAAGCGACTTACAGAGTAGACACAATATTACATTTATCATCACTATGACAATTAGCTATACAGAGGAGAAACACTGATCAGAGTCAGTGGTGACAGCAAGAGGTAGAGGTAGAGGGGACTACAGAAGGAGTTGTGGGGGGGTAGAGGTACGGGTTAGGATTAGGATAGGAGATGCTCTTTGAAGAGGTGGGTCTTCAAGAGTTTCTTGAAGACAGACAGGGACGCTGCTGTTCTAGTAGCGCTCGGTAGGTCGATCCACCATCTTGGAACGACACATGCAAACCGTCTGGATTGTCTTAAGCATGGGGAACGCACTGTTGGACGACAATCCATTGATGACCGGAGTGATCGAGTTGTGACATAAGCCTTTGCAAGAGGATTCAAATAGATGGGAGCCGTACCCTTAAGCACTTTGTAGGCTACCATCAGGGACTTGTAGCAATAGATTCCTCAATGGCATTACCGAAGCCTGGGTGTTCTATCCGCTCTCCGGTGAAAGGTCTACAGAAAATCTGAGACTTCCAAACACTGACCAGCACACCACTGCTTTTAATGGCATTTCAGAGCGTGAAATGAGAGAAATCAGCGACTGGTGGTGTGAAGGAAGGAGGGGGGGATATTAAGGATTGCTTGGAAATGACGCTACAAGTTCTTGTTTGTGTCTTTTTAAGTTCAAGAACATGTTCAACAGCGCCGTGTCCCTGGCATGCTTTGGCCCATAATTTGTGTTTTTATGGCTTTCCCTTGTGTGTGCCGTTTACGGGCCTTGCATGCATAATTATGATCACGCATGACCGTTCATTTCTCTCTTTTAATGGCTTGTGGGCAGATGTTTGTAACTGTGTGTGTGTGTGTGTGAGGGTTTGTAGGTAGGTGTGACTGCCCCCAACTCTAGTTCGGGTCACCTGCGTTACAGGGCCAACATAGCCTCATATTCCCTCATTTGGAGGCCATTAGAGAGGAAACGGGGCCGCCAGCTATCTGACCTTCCTCCCCCTTCTCCCCAAACCCCCCCCTTAAGCTTTCAGTGTCTAATCATCACCCCTCACCCACCCCACTCTCTGTATTTTCACAGTGTTAACAATCAAGCCATGGCCCTGAGTGTTCCGGGGGCCTAATTGGGTCGGCTTCTGGCGTTGATTGTGATGGATGGAAAGGGAGGGGGGGCGCTTTCATCTGACTCCTTCAGCCTGTGGACCAAGAGGTGGACAGAGAAGATAAAGTCCCGCTGAGTCGTGGATGCTGAACATCAAATACCAGGCCCTTGAGCCCTCTACTCATTTTGTTCCAGTTCATTAGAAATGTTCATTTAAAAACAATGCCGACTAATAAATACAAGATTCTATCATCAATGTTATGGGGGTTGAAAAGGATTCTATTCTTCTACGCTGACAAATCTTTCCAAAGAAATTACGTAAACTTTGATGTCATCCCTGAAGTTCAATACACAATAGTAAAAGAAAAGAAAAAAAAAAAAACTTTCAGAAAAATATCCTTTTACAAAAAAAGGACTTCTTGGTTCTGATTCTGTTGCAACAGGCTGATTTGATTTCCTATTTCTGATGTTTACCACTGCTCAAACTCAGAACTCTTGTGGTGTTCCCTTGAGCTGTTTTGGTCACCACTCACTGAAAAAAACATGACTCAGAGCTGAAGTTAGCTTGTGTCTCACATCTTTCCTTCTTTATTTTTTGTTATATGAGAAAGACTGAAAGGGGAAATATCTCTTCTTCTTTTCATGTTTCACATGTATGTCAATTTAGACCCAAACTGATTTGAAAAGTATAAGAATTAGACTGGTCAGAGCTTGACTTCTAGCACTAACAAAGATTTCAGAAGTTTTTAACGATGTAGTCTAAATTTGACTGTTTTTTTTTTCTTCCCAGGAGCTGGTCTTTGGTAGTCAAGAGCTACAAAATATCAATCAAATTACCTTTTTTATCCTGATTTCTTAACAAATGACTTGAAAACTAACTTCCATTGTATTTTGTGTTAAAGGCACTGATGACAGGAAAGCTGTAGAACTCAGTTTAAGAGGGTTAAAGAAAAATTTAAATAAAAAAATTGGAAAATGACATCAACACATTGCAACCCATATGGGTTCTGTCTCATCACAAAAGCAAGGAGTGTTGCCCCAAACACTTTTGTGAAAGTAAATGTCTTCAGCTTTGTCAAATGTTACTGTGTCAAATAATGAATTTGTGAAAATGTAGAGCTTTTCTGCTTTGATATGCAGCTGTAAGCAAATAGAGTAAACACAAACTCAATCTGTGGATGACCATGCTTTTTTCAGATGCTTACATACCAATGATGTAAAAAATGAAAAAAAAAACAACTTAAACTTAAACATAGCTTTTATTATATTAATCAGCTATGAATATGAATTTACCATTAAAAAACAACTTGTCTGGGGCACCTGGTATGTTTTTCTCAAGCTGAAACTAACTAATTTGTCAATATTATATAGTTATCAGGCATAAATTTATTTGATGATACACTACCTCCATTGTCTTACTGTCAGTTGTTTACGTCGGGCTGCTCAGTCACTTCCTTTTGCACAACAAAAATCTCCCATGTAACCATTCTTCATCGGAGTGATTGCTGAGGGCAGATCCAGAGAAGATCAAGTGATTTGAACACCCTTTCTTTATTATATATATTTTTTTAATTTAGGTTCCCACAGAGGTTGCCGGCTGCGGTTAGGCAATGAACACTTCTGAAATGAGGCCAGTGTCAACCGTGTTTGTGGAGCACTTAGGGCCACTGGCAGCCCGTGGATACATTTGCTTATCTTTGGGGTGAGTAATGTCTGTTTGTGTGTGTCTGTGGTCGAGCCTGGCCCTGGCTAAAGTCGTCAATCACTGCAAAACCCCCCCCGGGGGCTGATTGACTCACGGTCGGGGTTAGGGATCCTCGTATTGAGAAAAAAGGAGGGCGCGCACATCAGACACCTATCTCGGCGTCCACCAGGGTTATGCGGACGACGTCGCCCAGGTCACCTATTATTTGCTTATTCAAAGTTGCGGCCGCACTCACAGCTACGCGAACAGAACGACCGCGCTTTGCATCGAGCGGCTTAATGACAACGGCAACATTGTGCAAGTCTGTTTACGTACGCGTAAACAAAACAGGCCCCCAAAAAAAAAAAGAAAAAAAAAAAGGCCTCTAAATATGCCTTCGTCCGTTGATCTAGAGATGGTGAAATTTTCCACATGCTTTCAATAAACACACGGCCTCGTGCGCTCACCATGTGCAGACGGGGCGGGGGTAGGATGCGAAACTGTTTGAGAAAATGTTCTACTAATGACGAAC